TATTACATCTCAATAAATCTAATTTAGCTGACACTTATGAGAGACATAGCGACTTAAAGCTGATGAAATTTATAGTGGCACTGTCATCATTCTTTTAGTACTACGAATTCCTTAACAAATGTATCCCGGAATAAATAGAGTGCAAGTTGCAATTGCATATTTATGTCACTTGTCATAGACTTGGGTACTCATTGTAATCTTTTTCAAGCTAGCACTCGAAAAGTTATAGCAAGCACATCCACAAATAAAGATCAGTATTTGTGATTTAAATGATAATACTCACTGTGGCAGTGGCAGTGGCAGTCGCAGCAACTTTGTGATCCTATTTTGATGATTGTCTCCTTCTTGAGGGCAAACTTTACTCAAGCTTCCTAACCGGACTTCATATTTATCGTCAAGGAGTATGCTGCTTGCTTGGACATCCCTTTGAGAACAAAAATAAATTAATGTTGACATTATGAGTATCGCTTTGCTGATAAAAGGCCAAGAGAGAAAATCTGGTAAAAGGAATTTGATTCAGTTCTGGGAAGTTCACTTGTGAATATGTATGGGAAGTATGGTGATTTGGATAGTGCAAGTGGTGTATTAAATGCAAGGAAGGATCTGGATGATTACTCTCTGTCTGCTTTCATTTTTGGGTTTACAAATTGAGCAGAAGCAAAGCAGCATCAGATGAATGGAAATCCAAAAATCTGAGTACCTGTTTCAAGGCTTGATCGACTGGAGAAGAAAATGAAATCAGTTTACATGAAAAAAAAAAGGTCAATAGAAGGCGATAACTACACAGATATATACATACACATATACACAGGGCCGGTCCTGTGATCCGTGGGGCCTGAGGCGAAGTCCGAAAATTGGNTATTTATGTCACTTGTCATAGACTTGGGTACTCATTGTAATATTTTTCAAGCTAGCACTCGAAAAGTTATAGCAAGCACATCCACAAATAAAGATCAGTATTTGTGATTTAAATGATAATACTCACTGTGGCAGTGGCAGTCGCAGCAACTTTGTGATCCTATTTTGATGATTGTCTCCTTCTTGAGGGCAAACTTTACTCA